GGGGCCGGGGTTGCGCCGCCCCATGGCGCTTCCCAAATCCCCAACCCCCTTCCTCCCTGACCGCCACGTGGGGTCAAAGCCGCGCGTCCGCGGGGTCGACGGACTGGCCGCGTCTGCGGATTCGGCCGCGCTTGGCCGCCGCTAAGGGGGATTGATAGCTTTGTAATGAGAAGAATACTAGGGACCTAGGGTGACATTTGATTTGCCACATTGTTTGACAGATGAGACCATCCCACAGACCTTTCACAGATATGCACGGATACAAAACCTTCTTGAAAGGATTTTTGTCATTGTTGCTTCTTTCACTCCTCATTTCGTTGCAGTCCGTAGATACATCTGCAAGCAACATCTCCTCCAAATTTTTAACATCTTGCGGATTATGCTCCACCATCCAATATTTCAACGCCTATTGTCACTACTTTTGTTGTTGTTTCAACTTCGCCGGCTTCTATCGGTACTCTGTCTTTTATCAGTTGCGTTATGCACACTCTTACGTCATCAAAAGACCATCTGCAAGTCCATATAGGACCCTTGGGACAAGCAAGTTCTTCTAATTTTAACATTACCATATATGACTCCCTTGCATCTATTGGTCCTAAAAAGATACATGCACACTTGTCCTATCTTGACAGTTCTCATAAGATGCAAGATATTGTGCTAGCAACAAAGGAATTGAATACGAGGATGAACACTTTGATGTGTGTGGATGCTGCAGTTCATCTCGATTACAATCGGCAAGGATATGGTCGATTCGAAACTTTCGAGGAGTATCGTCGCAAAGTGTTGCACAAAGTTTCTGTTCGTGAGGTGCTGCAAGAGTATCATTCCAGCGATGGAAGTTGATTGGTCTAATAAGAGAGATAGGAGGAGAGAGAAAAATCCTTAGATGTTGATTGGCTGGTCGTCCAGACCTTGCCTTGATAACAAATTTTGAGATGCTTGTCTTCGGTTCTGGTTAAGTAATTGCCCTTACAAGAGAGATGGGAAGAGAGAATAAATGTAAAAAAAAAAAGAAAAAAAAAAGAGAGAGAGAGAGAGAGAGAGAGAGAGAGAGAGAGAGAGAGAGAGAGAGAGAGAGAGAGAGAGAAAATTTGGCTTAATATTATTGTGTTTTTTAAGTCAAGGTGGATTCAACTACGTAATAATTGTGCCTTTATCATTCTTTATTATTATTATTTTTTTTTTGTGAAAGAAGTGCTCGAATCTATTCTTGGGGAGAAACACGTGCTGGGAACCGAGCTCAGCGTCCCATATCGAATTGTACAGATCATTTTAGATCATTTGAGATACCGGGGCCATTACCCGGCCTCGACTGAGAACAGTTTGAGAACACGATGTAATTCAGAAGACATGGGAAAAATCATGAATATCTAATGACATATTAAGGGACTACTCATGCAATAAGCTGCCACAAGGGTCCTTTGAGTGTTCACAACCCTTAGAATCCCTCACAAACCCTTCTAAAACATTCCAACACAGTCTTACTCCCTGTTGAGCTCTTCCAGGCCTCACGCCCCCACCCTGCTGGGTTACAGGGCAACACGGCTTGCTCTAGCTCCGATCAGCGTCGTCCCAGCAACAACCCTTGGTTGTCCCTTGGAATGCCCGCCCCAAAGCATCCCAAATCTCTCTATTAGGCTCCACGCTCCTGCATCAGTACATTACAGGGCAACATCCCAGCACCGACCAGCGTCGTTCTGGCATCGGAGAACCGCAAATCACTTAGTATAACAACATCGAAATCGCTTAAGATGGGTTGCTAGGAGTCCTAGAGTCCTAAAGCATTCATAAGAACAACCAACCATTTTTTTATAGCAGTTGAACATTCAAGGATAGGAAGCAAACTTTGAGTCCAGTCTATGCAAGAAGCAAACTCAAATCCCATAAGACAAAACTAGTGGTCATCCTTCCAACCCCCCATTTTAACAAGCTAACCCAACCCCGACTCACGCCTTTCTATCCTAAAAAATAACTCCCCAAGTCTCAAACCTCCTTTTCAGCTAGGGTTACAGGGTAGCACAACTCGCCCCAACTCCGACTCTCGTTGTTATAACAGAATGGAGTGTCTTCCTCCCTTGACAACTCCCCCACCCCAGTCCTCAACCGGATTACAGGGCTATACCCCAACATCGGTCAGTCTTAAGAAATTGTTGTTTGCCCACTATCCTCGGCAACTTGCCGGACCTCAAGCTCCCGCTGATCCGAGTTATAGGACGGAGCAACCATGCCCCAACACCGGTCTGTGTCATCCCAGCAAAATTCTCCTAAGACAACCCAAACCAGATTCTAAGTTGCCTGTTGAACCTGACAACCACTCCCCTTCACCCAGTTCTACTTCTGTCCCAAGTCACCATCCTTACTGCTGTCTGTCCGCCATCCATCCTACCGGCTAGCCCTCCTCACCAGCAGGACACATTGTTACCACCCCGCCATCGTCCAATCTTCGCGTACTGACTATACTCACGCTTCCTCCTCAAGCGACGAGCCGACCTCCTCCACCACATAGCTCGAACGAGCAGGAACAGTGGGGATCAAAGCTCACAAGGTCCCGAAACGAAGTAGCCACATTTATCTTCATCTTGTGCCGAGCCGACCTCCTCCACCACATAGCTCACAAAACGAAGGTTATCCCAACAACCCTTTCAAATCACCACTCCCCCTCCAACCCAACCAAATCTAGAAATCAATCATGAGAAGCTTGAAAGAACGAGTCTTTGGCACTCTCACACGGGCAGTCCTGTGGCGCCCTACTGGTTGGAAACACGCGAGCGCGAAGTGGCAGTTGGGTATGACGTGGACAATTTTGGCGTGTCGGCACCTTGGTGATGGGGTAGTGATGAAGTAGAGATCGGACAACGGGAGGGCAGGAGGATGGAGTGTGACTCGGTGTTGCCTGCCTTTTGAAAGCACTTCGGTGCCATCTCCAGCTTTGCGCTTCATCCAGCGGTGTTACAGGTTAGCACGTTGGGTGCAAGGGAACTTGCCTTCGACAGGGGGTGGGTCTCCTTGAGAATTTCAGCCTTCTTATGGCTTCTGCTCCTTGGTCTGCGTAGTGTTGTGGTAGGCAGTTGGTATGACGCGGACGGAAAGGAGGAGCGTGTGCTTACGTGGAGCAGGAGGAGGATTGGAGGCGATATCGAGTGCGTTGATTTCATTTTTTTTTGTATACAACTCTATCATCGACGACACTCTCGCTGATCACCACCAGCACCAGCATCGGCGTCATTAT